CGGTTTATTGAAGTTTTATCTTTCTACAGGTACGAATAAAGTAACCTGAACCCATTTGTCAATATAATGCACTCAACACCACAACCCACTAAAGAACTATTACCTTTCTGGCAGCATCAACAACAAAAACACAACTATATATATATATATATATATATATATATATATATATATATATCTTGATGTTGTGTGATATTTTCCCATTTCTTCTTCCTCAGCCTTGTATGAGTGAGTGTGCAGTCACACCATCTGTCTCTCGGATCCAAGGTCTGATGTTTAGTTCTTGTGGCCACTGCATATTGTTTGTCTTGTTGGAGCTGTCTGTGTTTGTCTGATTTATTAGACCTAAAATTACTGTAATGTTACATTCATGGTTCGAATTAGGGGGGGATTGGGGAGGTCTGACCCCTCCTGTTTAAGGCTTGGACCCCCTAAAAGAGGAAGTTCAGGGGGGTCTTTCTTTCTGGACTCGTGCATTATGTTCGAGAATCTTGAAATACGATTTCAGACACCCCTAAAATGGACCGTACCATTTCCTAACATTGGCATCAGTTGAACAGCTTTTTTAATCCCAAGCTTTCCAAAGCTAGTTTCTAACTTTTGCCTTAAGTTACAGATAATTAGCTGTTGTTTGGTGTTTAGGTAGGATGTAGAAATACATTCTGACATCAGTATAGAGTTTATTTCTGGGTCTTTTTACAGTAAGCACGCCATTTGTTTTCACTCTGGAACCTGGGAGTTTTACCTGGCTAGGATTTTGAAAGGTGTTACTTCAAATGACACAGATTACATTTCATTCAACAAAGAGTTAGTCGAAACTTAAAACTTGAAATGGCAAGAAGTAGGAGTTAGAGATGATAATGCAGCCTGTATGTTATGAGCTGACGCCCCAGATTGTCAGTGTATAATTCACACTCTGGTCACATTTATGGAGCTGAACAGGTAAAGCGACGCCCGTCATCACTAACTTGTGTTGTGTATTCTGGCTGCTGAAGCGTCCACTTGGCTGTGTCGCGGCAGCAGGTTCAAACATGTCCGCTGGACGTCTGATGCTCGGTGGAACTCGGCTATCAGACTGGAGGCAGACTTTACCTGCTGCCTCTCTCTGTCTTTTTCATCTGGTTTGTCTATCTTCCCTGCTTCCAGCAAGCTCCCGGGTCGGATGAGAGAAGCCGAAGCTGTCAGTCTGTGGGGGCCGAGCAGGAAAAACCAGAAACAAAACAGATTTAAAAGTGTCTCTTTTCTTGTTTGAGCAACGCCCAGCCATGTAGACCGAATGTATCCCCTCCAGGGTGAGTTGCACCAGCCTGGATTAACTCTGAAACCTGGATTAGTGTCAGCGCCGAGGCTCCACATCTTTAAACTCCACTTTAAACTCTCTTCACTGATGAACTTCACACTGAGATGAGCTGCTTTAATATTCAAAACTGCGTTCCTGAGGTAGAGAATGCAAAATGAGGCTAAACCCACTAAAGTTTGAGCTTCGTGACGAGTTTTAAAGCAGCTAACAGAAGATGATGAATTTATTCATGCTGCAGTGATTGTTGAATAATCTCTTTGTCAGTAATAATTTATTACTGGATTAAATAATTTGAGTAATATTTGTCTTAAAAGTTTATTTGTATATGGCACATTTTAACAACAAGCAATTCAGGTCCATGTATTTGCACTAATATGTTATTTTTTAACATGTTTTTTGTTATATGTAAATATGAAACTTTCTCACGGTTTCAGATTTTTGATGCTCAACAGAACTTTATTCATTTCACAAACGTCAAGTCGGTGTTATTTATACCGCCCAGAATAATGTCTTCCCCTCTGCAGACGCTGTGTCTGACAGGGCAGCTGTCACTGAGCCGCATGTTGTTGTCTGTGTTCTCTGAGGATTTGATTCAGCGACCGCTTTGTGTGATTGAAAGATTCTCGCCGTGTCCTCCTGTCGCTGCCGCGTGAGGACAACCTGCAGATGAGTTCACGCTGGGGTCACATGACACCGAGGTGTGAAGGTTCGTGCCCGTAAATCTAAGTACAGTCTTGCCAAAAAGGTATTTTATTTGTGTTTTAATATACTACGCTGTACTGTAAATACAACAAAGTACACGCTGAACATCAGCTGTGCTCGAGCGCTGGAGGACCAAACGGTGCCCAGCATGGTTAGATTAACCTGTTAAGGGGCCCCAATTATAACTTGAATAACTACAGTCTCAAAGCTATATTTTAACACAGGGCCCCTCTACAGGACAGGGCCACAAGATTAATAAGTGCTCCAGGACCTGTCTTAGCTGATATTGTACTTCAAATTCTAACAAAACTAAAGTTAATCAAATTATTCACAACCAATTGACACACATTGAACCTGGGGCTTTAGGGGGCCCCTAAGGCTTTGGGGCCCCCAGGGTAGCTGACTGCTCTGCCCAGCTGGTAGTCCAGCCTTGCCTGGTCAGCACTGGCCCATGTGAGGCTGATGGATTTGTGTTGGTACCCAGAAACTGTTTCTGGAGCACCAGAGTCCAGCCATTTTTTTCACTGCAGGAATTTAACAACCTGAAGCCCGGGGCTTCTCACAACCTGAACCTTTAAGACCTCTGTGAGGCTCATGGTGCAAGGTTCTCCTTGTGTTTTTACTAGATTTCACAAATCAGAACATGGCAGTTACAGTACGTTATAAAAAAAAGGACAAAGAAGCAGGATCGGCTTTAGGCCATTTTTGTTTGCTGTTTAGTTTAGAGTTCAGTTTGTGAAGTCAGCTGTTGTGCAAAAGACAACAGTTGAAGCAGTGGTGCTGATACTGTTGTGGATTTTCTTTCTCTTTACTCTGGATCCAGGTCCCAGTCGGTGCCGCCACACGCCGGCAAGCAGCCCGACCCACTGTGAGTGTTGTGATTCATAATTTTCCTATAATCTTGTGTTTTTTCCTGCAGTGTTTGGCTGAGTGTGTCCACATTTCTGCCAGACGCTGTGTGTGTGTGTGTGTTGTGTAGTGGTGGTCTTTGTTGAGTCACGTTCAACAGCACCGCTGCCGACCCCTGAAGGCACCTGGAATTTGCTTAGTATCACCTCCTGATCAGCCCCCAAAAATCCCAGGAACTCGTCCTGCAAGCGGCCGTAAAGCAGCCAAACCAAACCCAGGACAGCAGACGCAGGTTACAATATGTCTGCAGCGGGAAAAGGGCTCTTTGGCTACCTGGGAGCTCCAAGAGGGGTCAGGGCACTTCACTCCAACGGCCTCTTTGGAACCACAATTTCTAAAAATGTGTGCCTCCGTTCTGAGTGTGTTTGCATTGTTCTGATAACAAGTCATGAAATTTTAATCACGCATGCTGCTAATTTAAATAAACACTAAGATTACAGTGTGAACACACAACAGGCACCCAAAACACAGAGTTTGGTTCTGTTGACGGGTCGCCCGCTCCTGGTTCTGCTCCCTCTGATCCTCACGGTTAAATATTTTATAGCACAGCTTAATGAAACATGAAGCTTTTCCAACCAATTACACAGAATGAATGTGCGGCTGTCGGAGATCATGGCGGTAAAAGGCAGCGAATAGGGAAGGTAACATGTGAAGGACTGAAACTCTACACTGCCGCTCCACACACACACACACACGGAATCCAGGTCCACAATCCGGATCCGCGGTTTACAACGCGCCGACGGGGCCCCTGTTTGAATTGACGGACGTGCGCCCTAGCCAATCAGCGCTCGCCGTGCGCCAAAGCCGTGTTTATTCCACTTATCCGACCAATCGGAGCCGTCCTCCGCGGCAGAGTGCGTCATCAAAGCAGAATGTGAATGTGGCTGCCTGTTAGCGGACCGCTCTGCTCCCATCCCCCCCATCCTCAGCGAGCAATGGCGGCTGCGTTTTTTGTGTGCGCGCCGCTTTGTCCTTCTTAAGTTCAGCTTGTAAAAGCCATGAGTACAAACCTCGGTAAGGAATCCGTGTGTTTCATAAGAATGCCTTGTCAGTTCACGAGCACATTATGATTATTATTTATTTTCCTCGCACTTGTCTCATTGCACGTCTGTTGTGTCGCACTGCTTTTTCCTCCCCCCCTCCTCCACCACCTCCACCACCTCCTCCTCCACCGCGGAGCATTTTCTCGGAGGGTTTCTGTAACAATGGCGATGAGGGAGGAAATGAGGCCAACAGTTACTGTTAACTATTACTCACACTGTCGCACTTATTATCACTTGTGGATGTTTGTTCGACGGAGGTTGTGTTTTTCACGTTGTTTTAGTCGCGCTTCGACCTTGGCGCACGAATTTATGGGGACGTTATGTAAAAATAAATAAATAAATAAAGCAGAAAAAAGCGTCAAGTGCGCACATAGAAAGAGAGAGAGCTGAGGGAGGGAGGGAGTTTCAAACATGGCCGTAGGGGATGGGAGGGGCGAGGAAGGCGAGGAGACATGGCCGCGGTGTTGCACATTTACATTCTTTAATCCCTTTATCTGATTGATAGTGTTCATAAGGCGGGTGAGGAGGTGACAGCGGCGTTATTAAAAGCTTTAATCCACTAACGCTGTACCGTACGGTCGACATTTTCCCCCACCAACCCCGACAAGTATCTGCCTGTATTCCCTCCGCGCGTCGGTGGGCGGGAAAAAGCAAACCCGTAGTCGCCGCTTGACTCGACCAGATGAACATCAATCAATCAAAATGTGACACTACGTCAACCGAAGCGAAGTCTTACTCGATATATTTAGTGCGCAACTCGGTGCAAACTTCAAATTGTCGGTTCCTCGGTGCGTCCCGGGCTCCCGGGTCGATCACCGGCTCGGTTCTGTCGGGTTTCACCGGGTCGGGTTTATTGTTTTCTGTTTTGGGGGAGAAAAGCCAGTTGCAGCGGCTGACAGGAGGGGGCGTGGCCTCCGGGTTTAGAAATTCAATCCATTGTTCCACTCCAACGCGCGAGGAGAACACCTCTGTGGCGCCCTCAGCCAATCAGCGGCCGCCGTCTTCCTCTCTGGCCCCGCCCACCAGCCTATATTAAAGGCTCGGCCGTCAGTAGCACTGGCCACTGGCACACTATAATACTGATTGCTCCGCTAACCAGGACAGGGATTTACTTTATTCAACCTTTCATTTCAGCCGTCCTTTATTTTATTGAACTAAAACAATGGCAGACACACAAGTGGACTCCGGCTCGGATATCTCTGCTAAGGTAAGCCGCCTCGCACCTTCCTGCCCCCCCCCCACCACCGGAGTCGCTTCTCACTATAAGCGCCTCAGCAGAATAAAGCTTTTCCAGGCTGTAACCTAGATTTTTTTTTTTCATTTTTAAAACACCTTCCCGTCGTCGCTTCGCGCTCATTCGGACTCTACAGAAGTGGGGGACCCTGCCGGAGGAGCCCGGAGGAGGAGAAAAAGCCGGTGTTTGAAATCTCTTTCTCTGAACTCTGCTGGGAAACATGATAGAAATAAAGCGGGGGGTCTCGGCACCGCATCATGGAGACGGGCTGATACAAGCCCCGCGTCTCATTGTCCGGATAGGAACAGTCTGCGCGGGGTTCTTTGTTTATACAAGGCGGCTCGGTTCTCCTCGGCAGCAAGTCCGGACCGGAGCCCCGATAAACACGACTCGCTCCAGCTCACACTCCACCGCTTTTTTTTTTATTTGGAGGCTTTTTACGCGCAGCTCTGGTCGCTGGATCGACGCGCCTATTCGCACATTTATTCACCTCTTGCGGGTTTGCTTAATGCGAATCGATTCAAAGTCAAATCCCGCGTCCAGGTTCAGTTTATCCCGGGTCGTTTTTTTAGTAACGGTAACCGTGAGGAGCTGCTGGAGCCGAGCGGCGGACTAAATGGGATTTTCGGAGGCTCCAGCTGGGTTTGTAGTGAAGTTGGTCCGTTTGAATGGAGGACGGAGGAGGTGCGCAATTCACTCCAATGTCAACTTTCGTGGCTCTCCGCTTCCAGCCTTTAGTGAAATGTGTTATTAGTTTATTAAAAGGCACCGGCGGGCCTGCCTGCACCGTCCGACCCGGTTTGTTTACCGACTCAGGAAGGTCGCTGCTGCTGCTGCGTGAACGGACTCCGTTTGTTCAGCCTCCGTTCACCGGAGAGTCTGACACACAGCGAGCCGCGGCTTCCGCTTCTTCTTCTCTGTTTTTTGGAGCATGTTTGCAGGGCGCTTTTATGTCTCAGGGGAAAAGTTTGTTTCTCTTTTTTTCTGTAATGCAGTCCACTTCTTCTTCTTCTCCCCTCCGTGCGTGTGCGTGTGTCCGTGCTGTGGAGGTGTGATGTGACGGTGCTGGTTTTCCCCCCTCGTTGTGGTCCCGTCTCCCTCCTTCTGTCTGACCATCTTTGTGCTTCTTTAAATGTTAATTTCCGTCCAGGTGGACTTTGGATCAGATTGGGTAAAACTTTAATAGCCCCCGCGGGGGGAGTCGGGTCTCCGCAGCGGCAGCAGGGAGAACAGGATCCAGCCATTTAGATAATAAGAGCAGCAGCAGCGAGCCGCGGAGCTGAATAATTATGAGTGATTATAACAAATGAACATATGGAGAAGGTGGAGGGGGGGAAAGTTTGGGCCTGGCATTAACGCCGGTAATCCGGGGTGTCTGTTCAGCCACTATTTATAGTTGTGGAGCATTTTTACGCACAAGCGCGTTTTTACGCGCAGTCGGTGAGAGTGCGCGGAGCCTCCGAGCTCACACTGAACCTCAGCTGTCTCCTGCCAAGGAGCCAGCGATGCTCCTAAACAGCTTAATGGATTTTAAGCAATAAGATTATGTAAAGTAATTAATAACAGTGTATGTGTGGGCCGGGCGCGCGTGCAGTGGGGATAATAGGCTGTGAACGGTCGACAAAACGAGGAAACCGAGCGCTATTAATAGGCTCGGCGGGCGGTTTTCCGGTCTAAGTGGAGAGCAGAAAGCCCCTGAAGGTGTTTGTGACGGTGTGCTTGCGGTCCCCGGGCCCGCAGGGCCGCTTTATTTTCGCTTTTCTGGCCGCTTTCCTCGCCTGCCATGTGTCGTCTTCTATTGTCCTTTCCAGCCTCCGTTACAACGAGCGGCCAGCAGCGTGCATCGCGCTCGCGGCCGCCGCCTCCTCCTCCTCCTCCTCCATCATCATCACCACCTCCCACCCCCCCTCCCCGCTCCTGCGCCCTACTGTGTTATTTTAAACGGAGCGGTGCATCCTGGGTATTGCAGTGCCTCTCCCGGGCGTGTCTCGTGACATATGGCGGCGATGGCAGCCCGCGGAAGACTACAATACCCAGAGTGCCCTGGGGGCCACATGAAAGTATCAGATTACAACACATTAGAGGGGATGGAGTGGGGGAGGAGGAGGGGGGGTCTGCAGAGACCAATATGGTGTTTAAATAGGAAGCTTTCATTCTGACAGGGAGAGGGCTGAAATGTGCAGCTCCCAGCATGCACTGGGACTCGTCTAACTAGGCCATTAGGTAGCAGGGCAGGTAGCAGCAGCCTGCAGAAGTTTCACTACAGCAGCTGCATCTCAAACTCTGATCATCTGTATTTTATAGTTGTTTTTTTTCTGATTCAAATTTTTTCCCTCTGGTTTGTTTCCATCAGGACCTGAAAGAGAAGAAGCTGGTGGAGGAGAAGGAGAACGGCAAAGATGCTGCCACCAACGGAAAGGTAACCTCCTCTTCCTCCTGGTACAGTGAGCTTGTGCCTGCACGGCTTCAGAAAGTCACTTTAAACACTATTTTTATTTCTTTTCTTCATCAGGAGAACGAGGAAAACGGCGAGCCCGAGGTAGATGATGAAGATGACGAGGAAGTGGATGAGGAGGACGAGGAAGATGATGGAGAAGGTAGCTAGAAGATTATTTTTATCTTAATGATACAAATATTTTCCCAAATCTTGGCAAAACAAATCTCATTCTTCTCGCCCTTCGTCCCGCAGGTGACGAGGAAGACGAGGAGGACGACGAGGATGAGATTGAGGGCGGCACAAAACGGGCGGCTGAAGATGACGACGACGACGAAGAGGTGAAGCGGCGAAATCCAAGCTTTACCGCCAAGAATCTGAGCGACCAATCAGGTCTCACCATTTAACTAACTCTTCTTCTTCTTCTTCTTCTTCAGGACGACGTCGAAACCAAGAAGCAGAAAACCGACGATGACGATTGATGCGTTTTCCCCCCTCGCGCCATCCTGCTGAACCACTTCCTGATTCTTCCACCTATGACTGTTTTTTTTTTTTTTCTATGTCACAGGTGGAGGGGCGGGAGGACTGATTTTAAAGGAGAAAAAAATAATAATAATAAATAAAAAAATGTAAAAAAAATCCAACATGGTCATTAGCAAGTAGAGTTCAACAAACATCTACCACGTCCACCCCCCCACCCCCACCCCAACCCGCAAAACTGCAAAACAAAATTTTCTAGAGGAACCTGCCACCGCATCGACGCAGAAATCCGGCTTCACAACAACAACAACACGAAAGGAGAATTTGTTTGTATTTTTATTTACATTTTATATTTTTGTACATATTGTTAGGAGCAGGGGGAGGGGGGGCCAGCTCCCCTCCTCGGCAGCGATCTCGTCAGACCAAATCGGTGCTTCTTCAACGAAATATTTTACTTGGTTGACCATGTTACGATATCTCAACAGATACTAGGAAGAAAAAAAACAACCTGTAAAAAACAGTTTTAAAAAAAACCTGAACGAAAACCTCTTAAGCCGTTGAACTCAGAGCATTCCAGTAAATTTAATGTATGTACTTTAGCTGTACCATAACTAGTTTGTTTGTATGGGAGGGTAAGGCCAAAGAAAAGAGCCTCTTTTCTTTTTCCTTTTTATTTTGTTTTTTGTCAGCGACTTATTTTGTTTTATGGCGGCCTGTTTTGATGTATGTGCGAAGTTTGTTGTTTGACAATAAACCGGACTTTTATTTTGTGAGTTGTACTTCTGTATCTCTGCTTGTTTTGTTTGTTTTTTTTTTCTTCTGCTCAGCGGCCGACACCACGAAGAACTTTCAGGAGGAGGTGAACTCGCAGGCGTTTCTATTAGCTTTCCAGGCCTCAGGTCAGCGCAGTTGGAAAGAAAGTAAATACAATTGTGAGGTGCTTGTACTCAAGTATTTCCCTTTGTAAAACCCCATTCCAGAGGGAATAATTATTATAACTGCATTTATTCACAGCTACAGGATCTGGTTACTCAAATAACATTTAACACCAGAATCTATTCATTTCACAGTTTGCTAATGACATTAAATGAATAGAAATAATAAAAAGTTGGCAATTAGAAAAAATAAATTGGAATTAGTGGAAATATTTGCAGTATTTTAAGTGTAATGAATAAGCTGTAATAATAATAATGAATGTCGATAATGTTGAGTGATGGAATCCTTAAAAACTGCAGTACTGAGACATAATAAACCAGAATATCGTACATTAGTTGAGTTTTTGCACGTTCAGGTCCAGTTAATGACTAAAGAGTCTGAGAGTCTGACTCTGAGGGAGGAGTTACAGAATCTGTGGTGCATTTTGGAGGGATGAACCTGGGGGTCGGGGCCCCACAAGAGGTCGCAAGATAACCGGAGAGAAGCAGGAAAACTTACTTTTCCTCCATTGTTTTCTTTTATCTTTTTAAATGATCTAATTTAAGTTCTGCAGGACGGTTGAAATAACACAGGTCAGAGGTAGACAGCAGTAACGTCTCCATTAAACTCCCTACCAGTAGAAATACTTCAGAGGTAGGTATTGTACCAATTCACTCCTCCACAGTTCTGTAACAGCTGTAGGAACCCTTGCAGTTTTAGGAATTTTCACAAAGCGTTATGAGAACAGTGTTTAAAATATGTTATAGTATTCTATAACATATTTTAAACACTGTTCTCATAACTTGTGAATTTGGATCCTCACAAGGTGTCGCAAGACAAATCTGACGGCTGAGAAAAGATTATTAAGAGAGGACAGAAGAAGAAAAACGTCCTACGCAAAATCTTTATATTTTAATCCAAAGTTTTTAAAAGGAAAATATCGAGTTATTTATTAAACAGCCTCAAAGTAACAAGTGATCGCCAAAAATAGTTTATAGCAACGACCAAAAAGCCGATTACTCAAGCAGACATCACTTTGTTTTAGAGGTCACATGATGAAAAGGTCGTGAAGAAGTGGATTAAAATCCCCTAATAATCTCAAGCAGCTCCAACATTGATCAGTTTTAACAATCTGAGAATGAAAAACATGATAACAAAACAGTGACAGGTCATCCTGCTGCACAGGGACTACTACATATTTTATACTTCACAACCTTTATGATAATACTTCTGTATTTGTACTGAAGTAGTATTTTTGAATGCAGTATTTGTACGCTGTTGTATACTGTAGGTACTTCAACTTGATCTGAGGACACCGTTGGACCTCACAGGACGGCGACAGTTAACAGCTGTCTAATAAACCAGGTGGTGAAAGTTTATTGAGACTAAGTTTATCTCAGAGTTTAAACACGGAGCAGTGAAACAGTGAAGAGCAGCGTGCAGAAGACAAAGAGCAGGAACTTCACCATAAACTTCAAAAATGTCTGTTTCCAGGTCAACATACGTTTACTTTACGACTTCCCAGTCAATCTTCGATACGGACATCGGATTCATTTTTATTCTGTGTTTGTAAACTAAAACGGAGTTGGTGTGGAAGGGGCCTAAATCACAGGATCAGTTGTGAAGTACTTAAACGCCTTTTTAATATGTGGTCCGCGTTGTCAAATGGTCGCAGGTTGGTTAGGAAAAGACTGCGGTTTGGGTTAAAGCGAGTCACGTATGTAACTTTTGGTTTCAGACGACGGATGGGGTTCATTTAAGTTACTTAAAGCCCAGGGCGTCTCATGTGGACGCTGAAGGGTACCTTGTGCATCAAATAGCGATATTTTGTCAAGCTTTGTCAGTGTCGGTATTTGACGCCCTGGGAGGAGACTGGGTTTTTACGTCTAAACCAAACCAAACTATGACCGTTTCATGTTTACCATGTGTTTAACGTCATGTGACCTACGTAAGTTTGGATGTTGTATGCAAGTATGTTTTGCATTTCGTCAATACAGTGAATACGTACGAAGAAGGAGCACCTGAATGCACCATGAGCTGTTGGTTGCAATTCACAGCCCTCACCACTAGATGCCACTAAAACTTACACACTGACCCTTAAAGGTCAGCTTGTCGCTGGTTACTTTCCATCGCTCTTATTTGTCGTTTTAAGGACAATTAACAATCAACCTATTTTATTGTTTAAGTATGAGGACGTGTTGGTAAATGACAGCGAGCTGAGCCTGCAGCTCAGTGACAGATAGACCGCTTGGTGTTCTGCTGTTAATTAAGTTAAATCAATGAAATGTCAGTGAGTCAGGCGGGCCGTGCTGGGGGCGTGGCTGAGGCGGTGACTGTAACGGCTCGTTTAAACAGTTGCTGAATACGGGCTGTGTGCTTTTTTTAAATTCAAAAAGCACCCAGACCTGCTCTGTAACCAAAACCGGCTTTGATCAAACAATACGAGCTGGTAAACGTGGATCCAGAGCAGAGACGCTGGTCGCTGGTTTCCAGTCTGCCGTCAGCCCGAGACAAACATGACGGAGCCTGAACGAGTGTAGGAGGATCTGATCTCTGTTCGGTCATGTCAGCTGCAGCCTGCAGGGCCCGACGCTCAGAGAGGAAGCCCACATACAGGAATGTAAAAGACACTTCATCACACACAGGGTGAACGCTGGGCGACGTGTCGGGGCCTCACTTTACTCACATGGGTTACTGACACTCAGCCAGGTGAACGGGGGGAGCATTTAGGTGTTATAACAATATTTAAAATATATATAATTTTTAATATTTTGGAATATAAATTAATATAAGTATTTATTTGTAAGAATAAGTACAGGAATTTTTATTATTGTTTTTTTGTTATTTATCATCAATTTAACAATATTTTATAATTAAAAATATATGTATTTTTGACATTTAGGACTTTGTGGGAAAGTATTTATTTATAGTAAGTTTATTTAGTTATAGTAAGTACAGGAATATGTATTATTGTATTTTTCTTAAATTTAAATTTAACTATATTAAAACATACATATAGTGTTTTGATATTTAGGGATATTATTTGGATATATATATTTAAAGTATTTTTTCTTAAGTATTTATTTGTAAGTATAAGTACAGGAATTTGTTATTTATCATAGAAATTTAACAATATTTTAAAATACATTTAAAAATATATATTTTTGACATTTAGGACGTATATATTTTTAATATAATAAGTATTTATTTATAGGTATAAGTACAGGAATATGTGTTATTGTTTTAAATTTAACAATATTTTAGAAAGATTTATATTTAGGGATATTTTTTGGAATAGATATATTTAAAGTAGTATTTATTAGTAAATATAAGTACTGACATTTTTATTATTCTCTGTTATTTATCATAGAACTCTAACAATATTAAAAAATATATAAAAAAACCCATTATCTATAATTTTTTAATATTTTTGGAATATATATTTGTTAAAGTATTTATTTATTAAGTGTTTATTTTTAAGTTAAGGTTTGGGTTTCGGAATTTGTATTTTTGTTATTTATCAAACATTATACATACAATATTATAAAATATAATAACAATATTTAAAAAATATTAAAAACATGTTGATAAATTTCCTAAAAGTATTGATTTGTAAGTATTGATTTTTAAAAGGCACATCTTTCATTTTATTCATATTCAAATTATTCATTTTCATTTTCATTTTGTTGTTTTAAACAAATTATTCTTAATATAAGTTATTTATCTATTTGCATTGTATCACAATCACATCAAAGACACACTGAACGCTGATTAAAATGACATAAAGCTCATTTTTAATACATTTTAATTTTTGACTTTAGATGGTTGCCATAGCGCCCCCATCAGGAGACCTGTCCCCATATTTCAGTGTAAATCAGTTGGATCTTTGTTGTTGTTGTTTATGAAAGAGCTAAATGTTATTTTTGTTTAACTAAATAAGGAATGAGCAGTAAATCCAGCAGGTCTGAGCCCGTCAGTTGTCTGACAGCTCGTCTCCGTCTGGAAAACTTTAGGTCTTTAAAAATTAAAATAATGTCCTTCCAAGCCTCCTAAAAGGATTGTTCAGATTAACAAACGTGTTCGCCGTCTGCTTTTCCAGCTCAAACTCACATCCTGAGATACAGACACTCAGCTCAATAACAACAACACAGAGCAGGACCGACAGTTTCCTTTATTGATCTGTCAGATATTCAGACTGTCGGGGCCCCACATCTGCCTGTCCAGATGTTTCCAGAGCTTTAACGTTGCTTCATGATACTGACAGGACTGAAGTAAACAATGTTCATATTGTGGACTCACCCTGTTTGTATTTGCATTTCCTTCAATAAGAACAACAATCAGTGTTTGTTTTTAACAGATGCCACAGGTTTATTCAAATATAGGCCTGCACCAGACGGTTTAATATCAACATATTAATAATAATAAAATAATCAGGATCTTTTTGGTCATTGTCATCACTCAGGATCAGGAATCAGTTTCTTGTTTTTAAGGGCCAATTAATGTCGTGTCCATCTAGTATTTGTAAAACTGTGTGATGTTATGATGCTAGAAATATGTTGGTACACCGACATGTCAGTTGTAAGTAGTAGAACTAGTATTATTTCCATGTATTTATTCTATATATTTATATAGAAATATCAACAACAACGAATGATCAGAAGTTTATTTTGTAGTACTAATAGTAAAAAATACTACTTCCTTTAGCTTGGCGTCACGACCTTCACCATAAAAGGACAACAGCACGTTTGGTAAAGCACGTTTTTAGAAAATGAGTTGACCCTTATTACACTTTTTAAGTTACATCATTCTGTTCAGTAAAGCCTCTGAAACTATGATGTTGAAAACATGCCCACTTCCTGTAAAGAGGCGAACTGAAGGTTTGGTTTTTAAAGACACAGCGACATCTAGTGTTTGAGAGACGGTTCAGTCAGATCAGTAAAGGATTTAAAACGTCACAGTAGAAGATCTGACTACAGTCCAAGTCTTTCCATTAAACAGAAGATGAAGAGTTTCTTTAAAACATCAGTGTCGAAGCCAGTCAGCTCTTAGATCAGCGGAGTTTTCAGAGCGAGTAGCGATTGACTTGGACAGAAAATGAATTTAAAAACACCACAACATGTGTGAGACGGTAAATGTTCTGTATTTGTATAGTTTCTTGTCTTTGTGAGCCCTCAAAGATCTTTACACTACGTCACATTCACCAGTTCACACACTGAAGGCCGAGTCCACACGCACACGGGTGTTTTTATAATCTGAGTTTTTCCTCTGTCGTTTAAAAAAAAAAATCTGTCTACATGAAAGTGCAAAAACACGCTTTCGAGCGCTGTAAAGAGCACGCCGAACCACCATGCGGCGATGTAACCGTCATAAACAAAGCAGGCAGTGGCGCGCACTACGATCTCCGTCCACAGCAGTGCTTTAGCTGCGTATCAGAGCTGATCTCCGACTACATTAAGACTGAAAACGCTCATCTAGAGGCCGTTCACGCTCACTGGGCGTGCACGTGTCTGTGCGAACATGAGGCAGATGGTCTGTTCTGTAGTTACTGAAGATTTAAAGTACACTAAAGTAATGCAGACGAACAATCAGCTAAAACTACTGCCAGCAGCATCGTGTTTCTGCTTTGCATGACTGATTAGAGCCAATCAGAGAGCCGAACGTGAGCGTCTGCATCTTCGTTTCTAAAGTCCTCTGGTTTTGCCCGTCTTCACTAAAACGCTACCTGGAGTTTTTAAACCAAAAACGGGGTCGGCAGTGTTGGCAAACTTCTCCATTTCAGGTCTTCGTTTTCGCTGTTTTAGTCTGGGAGGTGCAAACGTAGAGAAAGGTCTCTGTGTGGGGCCTGACACCAGAAACTCTGACATCGCACGGCAAAAACTCACACCACAACACTGCAACAGGAGTTTTCAAACAGCGACCTGTGGTTCGTGTGGACGAACGGCCAAACCGCATAGAAAAAGTTACGGTTTTGAAAATAGACACGGCCTGAGACGCACGTTCACTTCAGCAATTTGGCAAATAGTGTCAAGGACCCAAAGACCTTTCCACAAGCAGAGCAGGGGAGACGGGGATCAAACCAGCATCCTTCAGGTTAAAGGATGACCACCGCAGCACCTGAGCCACAGCCACGCAGGTAGAAGGTAAACTCCTCTTTGTCTCATCCAAATTCCCAGATTCCCACAAACTCTTGTCCTCGTGCTCCAAAAGATAAATTATAGTTCCCCTCAGTGTCAGCTGAGTCCTGATCCCCACGTACACGGACACCGAGGAGCGTTCCCGGGTTTAGGACGGTCCCCCTGTCAAAGACTTCCTGTATGGGCCGCATCTCTGCAGACTTTACCTGAGGGAATTACCCACAGTTCATAGTGTTTTGCTGTTAAACGGAGGGAAGCCGGCGTAAAAAATAAAGATAAACAAACATGGAAGTCTGTGATGCTGTTTCGATATGAAACAGTTTTCAGCAGCCTAAATGTTGAGTTTCAGTCTTCCGACCAGTATTTGAGCACATTTCATGACATGACTGGATTTTTCGTGGTTCATTTAGAACAATGTTTGAAACACTTTTGACCACGCACACATCCACAAGTTAAATATGACCCAGCATGCACCTGTTCTTATTAAAGAGTTCATCTGGACGGATTTTTGTCACCATGACAGGCCGGAGGACGACCTCTGAGTCTTTAAGTAACACCACAGTGTAGAAATACTCCACTAGAAGGAAAAGTACTACATTCAAACCTACAAAAATATTACTATAAAAAAATACTTACCAAATACCAAAAGTAAAAGTACACATCATGCAGAATAATATAGAACAGGATTATAATTATTGATGCATTAATCACTTTAATGTTGCAGCAGGTAATTTACATACTGCTGGGTAGTTTGTGAATGTTCCAGCAGGGATCAATAAAGTTTCATCTCAACCTTAAATAATACTTATATATTTATATTATTTTGGATTAATAATACTCTTTTAATTAATCTGAACCTGCAAAGTAACTAAATCTGTCAGATAAAAGTACTGCAGTAAAAGTACTACATTTCCCTTTAAGATATGGTGGACTAGAAGTAAAAAGTATCTCAACATTGTAGTCACGTGCAGTACTTGAGTACATGTACCCGGTTACTCTGCTGACACACATCCAGAGATGAGTCCTCACTCGCCATCAGAGCCGCAGGCCTCAAACAGGAAGTGCGACCTGCTGCACATTAAACACTGGAACAACCGGCAGCTGCGTGCCGATTGGCTCTCACCACTGGAGCGAGACGACGGGCCGTCCAATCAGGTCGCCATGTGGAGTTTGAACCCGCAGAGCCGCCACTCTGCAGGTTCACCTCATTTCAGTTTGAGGCAGTGCTGCTGTCGTCCAATCAGAGCGCAGCATCATCAGGCGTTCACCTCCGTTCATCAAGTTCAACTTTGACCCGAAAAGCATTATGAAGGGTCAGAGGTCACCGGATGATTAATACCTCTGTTACTACTAATACTATGACTAATACTACGACGAGGTACTTGTAGTGAGTCTTTTCTACTGCACAACATCTCAGACGAAATACTACATTATACAACTTTAGTTACTTCACAAATTTTTACACAAAACAAAACAAGAGTTTCTAAAAATCGGATGTTTTGTTAAAAGTACAGCTGAAACCTTCCGTCAGTCAATTAGTTGATGATGATGATAAAATATATAATAGTATAACTGTATCAGAGTACTTTTACTCTTAATACTTTAAGTTACGTTTTTATGATTATACTTATTCTGCATAGTTTTACTTAAACATTGCAACATTTTCTTATTTTTACAGTGTGGTATGAGTACTTTTACTGAAGTAAAGGATCTTAATACTTTCTCCTCCACTGCTAAAAACTGTACTTCTGTATTTCACGAGTAAATGTACTCCTCAGTCCCTTCTTCCCCTCAGCACTGCCCTCTGGATCTGGATCCTCAGACCTGCCATCCTCCAGCTCTCCACCAGGTGTCCTCCTCAGACTGTCCCTCCTCCCCCCTTCACCTGACCGCCACACCTGCTCTCACTTCCCTCATCAGCCTCTTACCATTTATACCTGCTCACGGCTCTTCTGATCCTGTTTCTGGTCTGCCATACTACTACTACTACTACTATCATCATTATGTCTACTACTACTGCTGCTGCTGCTCCTCCAGCACTTTGCAACATCTCTACTGTGCATACTGCTACCACCAGTACTAGCAGTAACTACTGACAGTAGTAGTGTTAGTAACAGTAGCTGTACTCACTGGTAGTACTCAAACTGCTACTGTTACTAGATTGGAAAGGCTCCACCCGCTGCACACCTGAGCTGGATTAACAGGTAAAAATAAACTGTCAGTATCACAAGTTATTGTTCCTAAATAAGAAATACTGCTATAACTCACATCTTTACTGCTTTGCTCAACAGAGCAGAACTTAAACAGTTATTGCCTTAAATACCAAAATACAACGAAACATGACAAAAAGAGCTTATTGAAATGTTTTTATATACATTTTTTAATGGATACTACTTCATACGAATCCTTGAAATTTGATCTTTCAAGTGTGATTAATGTTAAGTCAAATGTCTATTTATCCAAAACAAGAATTCACATGTAGAGATGAAGCATATTTAATTTCTGCTGCTTTTACTGCATCACAGACGGAAACTGATGAACATCAACAACAGCAGCTGGAGGCAAAAAGAAAATATTAAAGGATGGATACACAGAATAATTAATTAGTAAAAATCTCTGGCAATGACCTGACATTTGCATTAAAATACTGTACCTGTAGTAATGTCTGCAGGCGTCTCCAATCATCTGCAGAAATAAATCCAGTCTTCACTTTGTCCATCAATAATAATCATTCTGACCAAAAACCACAGTGTGATGTTCTTTAGTTTAAATCAAAGAAACTCACAAACACAACTCTGAGATGAACTCTGACTGAAAAATCTGCATCTTAGTTTTCATGTATGCAGATATGACTTATTAAAAATGACAAACATTACACAAAGATTTCACAGACGCAACAAAAATAGACAGAGATACAATTTCTACAGATAAACGACAAGAATGGCTCACAAAATCTACGTATTTATCCTGTTCTGTGAGTATTTGAAATGGAGAGAAACGGGTGTAAAGGGTTTTCCATCTGGTAAAGTATATAATACAATAATGATGATAATTGTGGTAGTTCTGATAATATGGTTTTATAAGTTGGTGTGTATGTTTTACTATATAATAGAATAAAGAGTACTGCTGCTGATGGAAACACTGGACTGTGACAAAACTAGTCGTAGTACAGTAGGCTAGAATATGCTCATGAAGCAAACAGCTGGTCAGGTTTAACCGCAGCGTGGCAGGTTTGATCAGATTCCCCTTATCAGATATTCAAATGAATTTCTTCACAAATTCCTGACCTTCATTTAATCACTGCGGACAAACAGAATCTGGGAATCATCTCTGAGTCTTTGCACAGAAGCAAAAATAGCAGAAATAAGGTCTGGGGCCCAACATTAAATCTGCTGTGGCCCCTGAAAAGCTCATTTCTCCCTCCTGTGTTTGCCTGCAGCCTCTCAGACTCTGCTGCTGGAACTCTTCCTGCCTCTAACTGTCTGCAGACTCCAGCTCTCCTCGGTGCTTCACTGCCCCCTGGTGTCCAAACTCAGAGCTGCAGGTTGTTTCCTCTTCATCGCTCACATTTAAAGTTTTGATCAAAATAACTTAAGATTAGAAATAAAAACTAAGATTTTATTTTTAAGTGTTGTTCTGTGAGCTGATAATTCTTTCTATATTTTATTTAAAACAAATGTGTTGATCTGCTGCTCTGTCTGTCTGAAAACACATTTTACAAAAGATGATTCCCATATTTAAACTTCCACTAATAAATTAATCATTCAGAGCGCCTTTTGTGTAAAATAACAATACAAGGTGCTTGACAATATTTTAAAAAATTCCAGCATTACCAAATAACCAAAATAGAAGTTATTAGGGAAGATTAACGTTTAAAAAAGAAAAGCGATATAAAACTATAAGACACATCAAAGAGGAAAATTAAGATCAAATAAAAAATAATTGATTAGGAAAATGTTAAACTAAAAAGACACCAGTGCTAAACAAAGGCATGAAAATGCCCAGACATTACTTTTAAAAAAATAAGGACAATTGTCTGATACTGATTTTAGTGTACTGCTTTATTACTGGATTATTATTTGATGGTTATTAATGCATTTATATTTCAGTCTTCTGCAAAGACAACGTTTACATGTAAACACTTGTCTACCTTTTAAACTGTCCTCACCCTCATACACGGTGTCCTTTATTTCAGCACAAACTCAGCTGTGAGTCTGATTCTCGGTTTGTTCATTTAATAAAGTTTTAAGCTGCCAAAAACCCAAAATACAAGAGAGGTGACACAGGCACCAAAATAAATGTATGCAATATACTGTGTAACTGTAAATAATTGTTCAAAATAGTAAAAAATGAAACTGAAATATTATATGTAAAGTGATTTAATCCCAAATCATTTATGTGCAAATCTGTAAATCACTGAAATATTAAAATTCAGTTTTAAACATTTCTTCAAACCTTTTTTTTATTATAAGAAATTAGACAGAAATGAGGCGGCGTGAGAAAGCAGCTCTGTCAACCGGTCTGTCTCCACATGAGACGGTAGCTTTTTACTGTTGTATTTGGCCAAGATTACTCTAATTTTAAATATATTATGAACTGTTCGGTTTCTAATCTATAATTCATGTTTTCTATGTAAAATCTTAATTTGTAAAGTAGTTGGTAACTATATCTGTCTGAAGTAAAAAGTACAATATTTCCCTCTGTGATGTGGTGGCAAAATAGAAATACACAAACCAGGTGACCATTCAGTCAGAACCAGAGGTCCAGAACATGTAGACCAGGGTGTCACAAGGATTGAAAGACGGGTGGGGGGGGCAGGGGGCAATGATCTTTTCTGCAGTCCTGACTGTCCGTTGTAGTCTGCTCCTGTCCTTTTTGGTGGCAGATCCAAACCAGACAGTGATGGAGGTGCAGAGAACAGACGGTTGTGTAGAACTGGATCAGCAGCTACTTGGGCAGATTGAGCTTCCTGAGCTGGTGCAGGAAGTACATCCTCTGGCTGGGGGGGGGGCTCCTCCTGAAGTCCACGGTCATCTCCACAGTTTTGAGCGTGTTAAGCTCCAGGTTGTTCTGACCGCACCAGAGAGCCAGCTGACCAACCTCCCGTCTGTAGGCCGACTCATCACCGTCCCGGATGAGGCCGATGACCGTTGTGTCGTCAGCGAACTTCAGGAGTTTGACAGATGAGTCTCCTGAGGTGCAGTCGTTGGAGTAGATCAGGAGTATTCAATTAGAATTCAAAGAGGTCCAGTTAGAGAAAATTTCCCGAAGCAAAGGTCCAGAACATCAAAAATGACTAACTTGCGTTATCATTCGGTACAATAATGTTTAGTTGTATCAACATATGTTTTTAGTCAACAACGGACTCTCAAATCAAATATGATGATGATGATATAATGCCTCCTCTTCTCCTTCATTCCCTCTTACAGAGCTACCACTTTCCTACTTTCTCTTGTTCGGTGAGAAATGTGAGCTCTAGCTTGTCCTGCCAGCTAGGATTGGAGATCTATGACATATTCTGGTTCTGAACTGCCCGTGGGAGGAATCTACATGGAAGAATCTGTACATTCTTGATTAAAAGCCATGTGAAATCTCTTCTCCCTTTCATCTCCTCAATTCGTGTGTTTCCAAAACGAAGTCCTCAAACCTGAATCTCACGGACTCAACTCGCAAGCATCGGAATGCACAGATTTGATTGGCTGAGCAGCGTCACATGAGACGATTAGAGCACATGAAAATGGTCTAGGAGTTTCCTGGCCCGCTAAACCAGTACAGTAAATGCTAGAGAAGCTGCGCCGCTGGATCCGGGCCGCGGTCTGCCTATTAGTGACCACTGGTGTAGAGGGAGAAGAGCAGTGGGGAGGGCCCACACCCCCTGGGGGGCGCCAGTGCTGAAAGTCCGGGTGCTGGATGTGATGCTCCCCAGCCTCACCCTCACCTGCTGACTCCTGTCAGTCAGGAAGTCTGTGATCCACTGGCAGGTGGAGGCTGGCACAGTGAGCTGGGTGAGTTTGGTGCTGAGGATGTCCGGGATGATGGTGTTGAACGCCGAGCTGAAGTCCACAAACAGGATCCTTGCATGTGTCCCTGGAGAGTCGAGGTGTTGCAGGATGTGATGCAGACCCAAGCTGACTGCATCATCCACTGACCTGTAGGCAAACTGCAGGGGGTCCAGCAAGGGGCCTGTAATGTCCTTTAGGTGGGCAAACACTAGTCTTTCAAGATGTCTATGAAGATTCTCAGTCATCCAGGTCATAGTTATCCAACGAAGGTTAAAATCAAGGGCAACTGGACTTGGTTGAAGCTACTGGAAGACGTTTCGTCCCTTATCCAAAGGACTTCTTCAGTTCTGACTGACTGGCAGGGAAACTCAGCTATTTAACCTCAGTGGGGTCGTTGGCCCGGGTCATCGATACCGCTGGTTCATTAGTGTTCCTTGTTGCTGTGACGACAGTCGTTACAGTCGTTAAGACTACCTGTGGCCAAGACTGAACGACCATCGTTGGTATCTTCACCTGAGGCCAATAGGTTACGTTTGTTGAGTTTCCTGGAAGTGATGAAAGGACAGCATTGTAAGTGGGGGATAAGTGGTGGCGTAGACCCCCTCCCCTGTTCAATGACGGCTTCTCCACCCTGGTGTAGAGCTTCCTTGACACCTCTTTCAAACCATCCATCTTCTCTGTCTAAAATGTGCACCTGGTGGTCCTCAAACGAGTGTCCTCTGTCCTTCAGATGTAAGTAGACTGCAGAGTCTTGACCTGAGGAGTTGGCCCTTCTGTGTTGAGCCATGCGTTTGTGTAGTGGTTGTTTAGTCTCCCCAATATACAGGTCTGTGCATTCCTCACTGCATTGGACCGCATACACTAGATTGCTTTTCTTGTGTTTGGGTGTGCGGTCTTTGGGTGGACCAGCATCTGTCTTAGTGTTCTTGGGTTTAAAAAACACAGGGATGTTGTGTGTTGAAAATCCTCCTGAGTTTCTCTGATACTCCAGACACGTATGGAATCACAATGTTGTTGCGTTTGACCTTCTTTTCCTCCTCCCCTGTAGTTTTGTTCTTCTTGGATCTTGTGGCTGTTTTCACAAAGGTCCATTTAGGGTATCCACAGGCTGTAAGTTCCCCCTTCAGGTGGTTCTGTTCCTTCTCTCTGGCTTGGGCGTGTTGGTATGTTTTCCGCTCTGTGGTGCAGTGTTCTCATGACCCCTAGCTTGTGCTCCAGTGGGTGGTGGGAATCGAACAGTAGGTATTGGTCTGTGTGTGGGTTTTCTGTAAACACCAATCTGCAGGCTCCTGTCCTCTTCAATGTGTACAGCGCAGTCCAGGAAGGCCAAACTGTTGTTGTGAACATCTTCTCGTGTGAACTTGATGTTACTGTCCACAGAGTTGATGTGTTCTGTGAAGGCTTGCACTTCCTGGCTTTTGATTTTGACCCAGGTGTCGTCCACATATCTGTACCAGTGGCTCGGTGCTGTTCCTCTGAAGGAGTTGATGGCTTTACTCTCCACTTCTTCCATGTAGATGTTGGCCACAATCGGGGATACCGGTGAGCCCATGGCACAGCCATGCTTCTGTCTGTAGAATCCTCCGTTGTACTGGAAGTAGGTGGTGTTTAGACAGAGGTCGAGTAATTTACAGATTTGGTCAGGGCTGAGGCAGGTTCTGTAGTCCAGGGTGTTGTCTTGTGTTGGCCGTTTCCTAACGGTTTCTACTGCC